CTTCTGCGGCCTCGCTCGCTCGCTCGCTAAGGACTTTATTGCTTCATTTGTCCAATATCATTTCACGATCGTAGTACCTCCCCGATTTCCTCGCCACCGTTTCCATTCTTCGTCATTTTTGCCGCGCCCCGCACTTCGCCCCCGTCTTCCCGGTTTTGCAACCGGCTCGCCGATATTCACTCGCGTTTTGCTCCGACGACATAAACGCCCCGGACTCGCAGCCTCTCGTTACAAGTTTCGCAAGGAGGATAATGCGCCGTCCTCTTGTGTTTTTCGCTCAGGGTGTCTACTCATTTCTCGAAAAACATTTCCCTGAGAATTCCCTGATTTTTCCAGGATTTTCATTGAAACTTCCAAGTAAAATTATAACAGTTTTTCGATGCAACTTTTAATTTAATTTAATTATCGTACGGGGTTATTCTTATCTCACATTCACAGTGTGTACAGAATTTACATAAGCATAAAGAGAAAATTGAAAGTTATCAAAATTAAGAGCAACGGTTTTTACAAAACAGACATTTTATATCATTACAAATTTTGGATTTTTAAATCCATCAAGCGTTAACGTTCCTGATAATGTCTCTAACTTACTGCAACTAGGAAGTAAATTTAGTCTCCCAGATTGTTTGTTCAAAAAGAATCCCATCTACTGTTGCGTTTGTTTTTAATCAAAAATTTTGATTTCTCATTTTGAAGGAACACAAGAAAATTAAATTTAAAGATGCAATGATGCTTGGAGCAATGAGCATTAGTTACCCAAACACATGTACGAGTTTTCTGTCACTTTCATTGCGTGCATCGCGCAACGAAACGGAAGTTCTTGACACATCGGATGGAAAATGCAACGTCCCGAAAGTTAGGGATTCCACGTCGTGACAAGATTTCATTTGAGACATTTTGCGACGTCGTCCTCAAACGTTCTTCCCCAAATTCTCCAGATCCCTCGGAAATTTAGAGAGAAAGACGCGTCTAGAACTCGCGAGGTGAGTCACTCTGAAAGCGGGGAGAAAAAGAGGAAGACACGTGACGTGTGTTGCGAAAATATGTATATCGACCAAATGAAGCGATAAAGTCCAGTTGCAGACATATCATTACGGCGTATAAAGGCGCTCGTAAAATTTTACCAATTCCTGTACAACACAGAAGAATCACGGAGAATGAGGGGACGATCGGGCGAGGGAAGGGACAAAGGCGAGAAAAAGCGAAGGTGTCTTCGCGATTTTCCTCTCGCTCCGCTCATACGAATATTGACTCGCGTCTGCTTCTTCTCTTCTTTCTCGCGTTCGAAATTCGATCGATTGAACTCGGGTACCGATATGAGAACTCGAGTTCCCAGCATGAGAAGATCCTTGGCCTCTTTTGCCGGGAAGTAGCAAGACGTTTTGTTACACGCAAACGTGACTTAATTCGTTCGAAACTCGTTTCGAAAAGAATTTTCCCTCGGGACCTGCGGTTAATAAAAAAGTAATGAAGATTGCATTAAAATGAACTCGACACCCAGATGGATTGTGTATCTTTATACAATTTTGTTCGATATTACTTTCGTTGTTCCAGTTTGCACTCGAGTAGCTCTCGAATTCTCGCGTAAGATGCACTGAGAAAAATTTCCATCGGATAAAATTGAATAGTGTTTGCGATGGTTAATTTTTCTGACTAAATTATGTATGTGTCCGATGAAATTTGATTGGAAACCCCGATCGTTTTCATCGGCTATTTTTCTCATTGTGAAAGTCAATCTTTACGTGGCGTGAGATCGGCGCGAGGCCACGCAGAAATCGTCGGACTGCCTGATAAAGGAGAGCGAGGAAAAAAATTAGGGGCGAACAATTGGTCGGAGACCCAGGAAGGAAAGCGGCCGCAACCGGGCGTTGTCGGCGATCGAGAATTCGCAGAATCGGCGAAATCGTCGTGATCGGCCGGGCCTCATTAGCCCGCTCGATCGATCCTCCGCGCGTGAATCGCACGAGGGCCCGGACCGGGCGTGCGGGCCCCGCACTTTTTCTTCGGAACCGTTGCGAGATCGTCGAACTTCACGATCCGATTTCCTCCGGGCGACGAGTTGCTCAAACGCGATGCCCGCCGATCGTTTCCTACTGTGTGCCGATCTCGCGCGCGAGAGATCGAAACTAGATCGCGTTGCACAAGACGCAATCGGGAGGGGAAAAAAAAAAGATCGCTGCGGGGAACAATTGCATTGTAGCCTCTCGTCGCTCTTGGGGCCTACATTTCCCGGGCCCCGGATTTCTCAGCGACCGACAGTGTTCCGAGATTCATAGAGATATCTGCGGATTAGAATTTAAACGACGTCGAGTCTTCGGAAGGACGTGGACAACCGGTTATGATTTTTTTCTTTGAGATTAACGTTTCTACCCGAGTCGAAATTTAATTTACACCTTCTTAGCTGATCTATACACCTACATAGATCAGCAATAACCTACTTTGATGACATTATATTTTTTTACTCCTCCCTTGAATCTTTAATTGTAAAAATTTACTTTAGCTCCTACTTAAAAGGACCTACTTTAATGCTAAGTTGGCAAAAGTAGAAATTGCTGACACTATCAGTTTTTAAGTAGGAGTAAATTTTGTACTTGTAGTTTGACCTCTTATCGAAAAACCGATGTCCATTTGTTATTATGCAATTATCCGATTATATTTAATCGGACATTTTTCTCAGTGTACCAATGCAGGTAAACTTTAATCTCGGTTTAACTTTGCATCTGTTTCTAGCTGGAAAAATTAGAAAAAGTAATTTCAATCAAGAAAGTTGATCTGCATCGGTGGGGAAACGGGTGTAAGTCGCAAGAGCGCTCGTAATTATTATTACCGAGCTCGGAGTCTTCACTCCTGGCCCATTAAGCGTAACGTTTGCGAGATTTAATTAACCGCGACTCTAACTGATCCCCGGGATATCTTCGAGAGGTATTCTCTGTTCTCACTATCGTCGCCGTTCGTCAGCGATACGCGTCGCTTTCCTTGCACCGTTTGCCCATTAACCGATAAACGAACACACGGCTCCGCAGTCGCAGGGGATGACCTAGATTTTCCAGAGTTTTCTCGCACGACCGTTTACCTCGGTACATCGGTAATGCGGGATCGTTTGGCGCACGGCTCGAAGAGCCAGGACTCTCTCGCATGCTCTATGGCGTGGGAACGCACCGTAGCCGTGTATAAATTCGCTCTAGCGAGGCACAGCTCGGCGAGATCGGGACGGGAGGAGAGACTGAAAGAGACACCGAGGGAAAGAGGGAAAGAGAGAGCGGAGGAGAGGACGGCGCGCGTGTACGACGCCGAGTGGTATGAGCAACGCTTGCTCGCTTGCTTGCGCAACTTCTTTTCCGCGCTCGCTTATCCAGCAACGGCGCGGCACAACGCACTGTACCAAATTAATACAGTGCGGCCGCGCTCGGCTAAATGCCAGCGGCGCGAGCCGCGCGCAACAATTGATCGCAGCCGCTCTGCGCTCCCGGATATCCGAGCGCTCGAGTGTCATTCCTCCAGCCGATTGCGAAACGCCCGGACTGCGCCATCAGTCGTTGGTATTGGTACCATAGTGTAACTAGTATGCCCACTCTCTGTCGGTCCTTTCATCTTTTCGGTTCCGATCACGTGGTATTCCGCCATGTTTTTGGTATAAAATCCTGTCATGATTTCACTTTACCGCATCCGTCTCATTGGCTCCACCAAAACAATGGCGGATGCGCAGAAAGAATCGGCGCTAAACAAAACAAATGACAGAGTGGGCCTACTAGTTATACTATGTTGGTACCGCCGTCCGAAAGGAGGTTCCGGCTCCTAATTGGAGAACGTAGGAGAGTTCGATGCCTCGTATCATCCCTTGGGAAAACTTGCTTCAAACGAAATTACAGTTTTTAAAAGTAATCTTTCAAATCTAAGAGTTTACTTAAAGAAGTTAAAAGTTTACTTAAGAAAATTTTAGAGTAATTTTGGACACTTGAAGTAATTTTTGGATAGCCAAGCCTGTCGAAGTTCCCGCTAGAAGGCCGCGCGGCACAGCACTTTCTCTCGTAAGAAGAAAACCGCACGCGGTATTATATCACATACTTTTCACAAATCTCTTAAAGTTTTCTTTTGAATTCTTAAAGTGAGTTTTCAGTTTAGCTTAAATAAAAGTTTAAAGTGTCCAAATTCACTTTTTATATTTCTTATTTTTCTAGAGTAAAATTTTAAGGTTTCTCCAGGTTTTCCCAAGGGATCGGCCGCGTTCAGCGGAAAATAGCAGCTCGCTCAGCATTTCATCACGATCGATTTTTCTATTTGTTCGATCCAGCGAAAAACTAGAGACAATCGTGTCCAACATAGGACGACATAGGACCAATCATGCCCAAGCAGAACGAGAAGTCATTTAAAAATCAAGCTGACGTAGAAAAATGAGCAATAGGATTCTCTTGAAAAGGACCAGTATTATGGCCGAAACGTCGTGTTAATGTAATTTAAAATCGCGCGCGCGGTACTAGCTGCGCTTACACTTGGCGTGAGACACTACCGTGTCTCGTGATAAAGTTGCCAGCCTTGGTCGATCTAGATCTGAGTTTCTTTACCCTAACATGTATCAAAAGCCAAGCCTAACTTTTTACATTAAGTACTAATAAAGTAATTGGAACTAGAGCTGGGATTTTTCGTTGAAGATTTTCAATTTCAAAGCTTCGAAGATTCGAAGTTTTAAAGCTTCGAAGTTTCGAATTTTCGAAGTGTCGAATTTTCGAAGCTTCGAAGTTGCAAAGCTTCGAATAATTAATACCACTAGTTGGAAAGACACATCAGAACCGTGTTAAAACCGCACCGTTTCTTCTTTTTAGGTAGTCTGTGGAACTCGAGGATGCGGTGGCGAATGGGGCGGAATCGAGGGCGCTGCGTTTGACGAGGATACCTGGTTCAGATCGACGCCGGCATCCAGCGAACCTCAACATATTCACCGGGACCAACTAGCAGCGGGTACCAGCGACAACGAGCACAACGAGCGCCGCTATATCATTTCCATGGACCTGACAGAGGCTTTCGCACCAGGGGGTGGCAGCGAGGATCTGCCGAAGACAGACTTCTTCGACTTCGTGGTGTCGCCGCCGCCGCACTGCGCCTCGGCCGATGGCGTCGTCTCCGACGAGGAGAGCTTCCTGCATCGCGGCGCCAGCGGCTGCCGCGCGATGGGCGGTTATCTTCAGACTCACGATGACCACGAGGGCTCGCACGGCAGTTCGCCCTTCATCAAGGAGACTAACAATAACACACTGACGGCACTGCCGCCCGTCTCAACCATTACCGGTTCATTGGGCCATCACCATCAACATCATCACGTGCATCATCAGGTACGCTCGCAACATCAAACCAGCGAGGCCACTGCCATGGACCAGTCCGAGTGCGATTATTGGGGTCAGGAGGACGAGAGTAAGGAACAGACGTGCAATATCCTCTTGGAGGATCTCAATAAATACTGTTGGTCCTCAAACGCGCACACCACCGACGGTGTCATTCACCCGGCCGCCGGCGGTCCCAACGATCATCATCAGACCGTTGGTACGGGCCGTGCGGGCTGCACCGCCAACGACCGACAGAACACTGATGGTGCCATCTACACCCTGACGGTGCTGAACAACGAGGCGAACTCAATGGACGCGCTGGACTGTTGCAAAAGTCCAGCGCCCGCGTCCGGCGACTCCTGGTCTCTGCGGCCCAATCTCGACCTAGACGCTATTCTAAGTATGGAGCCGTCTTCCGGCGAGCAGGATCACGAACAGGCCAGCGGCGAAGTGCCTAGAAGCGTCAACGAGAGGTTTCACGGGCCGGACGGCCGTGGTTTTACCGTGCCCTCGTCTCAATACGCAACCGACGACAGCGGGTTCGTTGAGAGCAAAGAGTTGTGCGCGCGAGCGTCCTCGGCCAACTGTTCCGGCGACAACAATAACGATTGGAAGCTGTCGGATCAGAATTTGCAGGAGGTCGCGGCCGCAGCAGCGGCTGCGGTCGCCGTTGGTGCCGGGGATTCCGCCGAGAGTCTTCTAAGAAGTGCTCTTCAGGGCAAACTGTACACGGGATCGGCCCAGTCGGTCTCCTCGTCCTCGCAGTCTTCGCAGGCGTCCACCATCTCGATGTCGGTTTCGGGTACCGCGGGTCTACTGGTGCCCGATCAGCAGCAGCAGCAGCAACAGCAGCAACAGCAGCAGCAGCAACAGGAGGATTCTATGCAGACCTGCACCGATGAGGATCTGCTACTCTCGCAGCTGGACCAGACGACCTATCGACCGGGCGATTACGAGAAGCTTAAAAGCATCGCGAATGAAGTGGTGGAATCATACTGCAGCCTCGAGCCGGTTTGTAATGTATCGGCGACCACCACGGTGATGTATACGTTAGATCCAGCAAGTGGCAGTCTGGGTACCATCACGTTACCAGCCGATCTGGGCCAGGTGAGCACCGTGACCGTAGTCACGGCTGCCCAGCAGGACGTTCTGCAGCAGCAATCCGCTCAGCGAACCGACGTGGAACAGCAGCAACAGCAGCAACAGTCAGGTCAGCTGCAGCTGACTTCCGGCCGAGCGGGTGTCACCTCTAAGTCGCCGAAGAAGTACGTGCGGCGCGCCAATCGCAACAGCAACAACGCCAACGGCGCCAGCAACGGTAGCGCCGGTACGGAAGCCAGCAACTCGAGCCAGCAGCAAACCGGCGGTTCCGGTGGCTCTCCCGGTAGCGTTCAGCGGAAAGAGCGCTCCCTCCACTACTGCAGCATCTGCAGCAAGGGCTTCAAGGACAAGTACAGCGTGAACGTGCACATCCGGACGCACACCGGCGAGAAGCCGTTCGCCTGCTCGCTCTGCGGCAAGAGCTTCCGTCAGAAGGCCCATTTGGCCAAGCACTATCAGACCCACGTGACTCAGAAGCCCGGCAGTATCCAGCAGGCCGCTTCCGGGAGCGGCGGAAACAACGGAAACACCAGTCCGACGGCGGAGCCTAACGTGACCTCCGCGTCCCCCGCCATCGCCAGCAGGTCCCAGGTCGCTGTAGATCCGACGGGAGCTGCCTGCAGTCCCCCCAGTTAGTTCGCAGAACACAGACGCGGCCACGACGTCAGGCGCGGATGCAAGTCGTCCACGTTTCCCTTTCTTCTTTTATCTTTCTGGGAAAAAGATAGCGCGCGACCGAACCTGGTCCCCGCTTTCTTCTCGTTCTCCACTTTTTTATATGAATATGATTTTCTTTCCGTGATGGAAAGGCGAGCGAGCTTGCGAGAAAGAGCGAACCATGACGAGCGTATTAGATAGGCGTATCGGGGATAGCGTGTACGGGGTGTCCGGAAACAAATTCTCTTTTTGAGGAATTATGTGATGAAACTCCAGATAAAAATCTAACTTGAGTCACTTAAACTGAACTGGGACCATATTTAATTAGTAATAACCTGTTTAAAGTACTTAATTTGATTGCTATTTTATTAGAACATAATCAGGCTTGCTAAATTATTTCAATTCAGTTTCTTGAGTTGCGTAAGTTGTTTTAACATTCACGCAGCTACTTGAATCAGTGTTTTAACTTAATTGATCCCCAAATCAGATTCAATGTGAATCGTTGCAGTGAGAAAAATAAATCCTCGCGATTTATATGAAAGTAGAGATGCTCCACGACATCCCGTACGTAAACGAGAAGCCCGTGAATTGAGTTTTACATGGCGGAACTACGCGACCGAAGGGTTGTTAATTAAAAGGTTAATTAAGAACTTTGCGAGATTATCTATCCTAACGGCGGCTCTTCTGTCGCCGGATTTTTGTATTAAATATTAATTAATTATTGACGGCTAAGAGGAGCTAATCCCTCCCACTAACATGACACCCATGAAATTGTTGTTCCTACGATCATTCAATTATCGTTAATGACAATAACGACAGGGACACTCACAACAGCGACGACGACGACGACGACGACGACGACGACGACGTAGACAGAACAAAGAGTGTTTATAGGCTAATTGACGATTTATTATATTTATAATAGCCACGAGATATTAACGTTAAAGATGTGTTATAAAATAAATTATATATATTGTAATTTGTACATGATGTTCCAGAACTATCAGACCCTCTTAAAACTTCTTCGACAATGGAAAAGAACGACTTTTCTTTAATGAAAATGTTGGAAAAGAAATTAATTCTTGACATTGCATGCGCCTGTAATATTTACCGATCAAATTAAAAACTTTATTGAAATGAGGTTCACTCGAAATTCGTTGAGGAAGCTGCAGACGCGTCGACATTTTTATTAAAGAAAGTTCAGCTCCAGATCGACCGAAGGAGTAGCGAGAGGGACATCTGGTAGTTTTGAAACGCCCCGTGTACACAGAGAGTAGATTAGGGCAGTAACTTAGAATGAGATAAGCGCAGAGTATCGAGAGGAAGACCCTTTAATAAGTAATTAGTAGCATGAGCTGTGATTTAGGTACATACTCAACGAGCGGTTTAGAGCGAAGCAAACGTAACGAGATGCGTAAGTGCTGTTCTCTCATTGGTACTCCTTTTTTTTCAACTCTCTCTTCCCTCGCGAAAGCGCATCTGAAAAAGGGACCAACCGCGACGACGATTGTTTTCGATCATTTTCAACGTTCTGTCGAATGCTACGTATACCGCAGAGCCACCGCGATCGATTGCCGTGAGAATCGCGTTCGCTCTTAGTCTTTTCTTGCCTGATTTATTCGCGAAATAGATAAGCTCCTCCGCACAGAAAGCATTTCCAATGAAACAATAATATTACAACGACACTACGTATGTGATAATATGATATTATAATATTGCTGATGTATATATAATTATATATGCACTATTTTTTTGATATTGTAATATTAATATTATCCTTTTGTTGTTCAGGCGGGTGCCCTACTTACCGTAAGTCTGAACATTAACACTTGAGACCGTTATTTTATCGAATAAGATTTTTTTTCAGACAAACATTCACCCCGCGTTTCTATCTCTCTAGTTCAGATTGTAAAGACGAATACGGCAGTTTCTCCAGAGTTTCGTTTGACTTGGAGTGTATACTAACTCCTGCAAGTCAAACTGTTTCGAAAATACGTTGACACAGTTACAAAACGTCTGAATAACGATTATACACGCTCATTAATAAAATCATTAAACATAATGAAGATTGAGAATTATTTATTGTATCGATTTACGTTAATTTTCTTCAAGGTAAAAAATTAATGGTCCCTGGATCGAAGGTTCTTGAGAAAAGACATTCGTGAAGAGTCAATGTCCGCGGATGATAAAATTTATAGCACCCGACGTTCATGCATTGTGATATTCACTGCCGTCGTTATCAATATTAAGCCTATTATCCCCGATAAAGCGGAACTGAACAACCGGCGGAGTAATTGGAGCCAATAGAATAGAGCTTACCGATCCTAATGATCGACGCGATTCTTATGGCTACGATCTCGAAAACTGCGATAATTAATTTAATCACGATACGATATACTCATTTCGGCGAGCACGACGACCGGGGACGGCGCGCAAATCCTCGAACGCGAACACCCTGTAGCCGCGTGCCACATTTCCCGGGAGCCCGCGACCCCGTAACAACGCCATGGAGGTCAGAGTTTCCGAAGGGCCGCCTCGGGCTATCGCGAGAGATTCGCCTGGTAATTACACGTTGCGTCGATATTGCGTTACGTGCGTGCTCATCGTGTATGCGCATGCCATGCGCACGACCTCACCGTGGCCGTGGTCACATCGTATCGGCAAGTGGCGATAAATTCACCTCACTTATAATACGGTGATAATTTTATTCGCCGCACTGTCGACGATTCGTTATCGCGATAATTAATTGCACGGCCGCTGTGCGTAAAAGTGAGACGGTTTACGAGAGGAGCGTTTAAAAGATGCGATGCATTCGGCTCTTATCAACGCCCCCCTCCCTCTCTGTCTCTGATTTCAGTTTCAGATTTTCTAAAATTATCTTTCCCCGGTGAGAGCCGCGTTATGTAAAATGAATGCGCGCCCGTTTGCGCGCAATTAAAAGTATCGCATAAATTTCATGGGGATTATTTATCTCAAGTTTATGTGGTTTTTGCCTGGACTAAAATTGAGAGCATTTAAACAATACCGAGGGAAGGAGTCGTACGGTGTTCACTAAAAAATTGGAAAGTCTCGCGTGACTTCGCGGCCGCGGACGTCCCCCTCGCCGATCACCGCCAATTCATCCAATTTGCGTAATTAGTCACGTATGCGCAACACAATCGAGACTATTCTTCCGCTGATACTCAATCGACGACGCAAGCGGCAAATGATATTAGAAGGCACATCGTCAGGTACTGCAGTGATCAGTCAATCGTTTTGTTAAGAAATAGCGCCGACCGATATTGCTGTTCTCAGCCGTGGGTCACAATTATACAATAATATATAGTCGTCAAGCAGACAGAAATAATATTATATTTGTTATCTTACTCAATTGTAGTCGATTCATCCAAGCGAGAAGGGAGGGAAAAGTATGAAGCAAAGTAACGGACATTAATTACAGTTGTTCCAATTAAATCAGACGTCAAGTGCGGACCGCCGTAATTGTAACTAGTCGTCTAATTTCGAGTACCGCGTCGATTGTATCTCGCCCTCTTTCGCGTGTTTTACTATTCTAAATAATTAAAAGCAAGACAGATTTCGAAGGGAGGAGACAAATATTTGCAGAGTTTTTCCCGCAGGCTCTAAGTAAATTCAAAATTGTACAATTTCATTCTCGAAGCTAGAAACTCTGCGATTCATTCTTATATTATCTTCAACTCCGATTATACAAGATATATATATATATATACACAAGTTGTAGATTTCTCCATCTACTTGAAATTACAAAATTTGGGAGCTATCATTAATTTTCTCCAGAACTAATAACTCTAGAATCCGATCTGTATTACTTTTAATTGCCAGATAAAGTACATTTGATCTCGCGGTAAATAACATAATTAAAGAGCCAAATGAACTAGGTCGAGCACTGAAAGTGTAGAAACGGTGGCCTGGCTCGCATGGTTTGTAGGGCGTCCTCGATGTAAGGGCGTTATTACGGTAGCGCTTCGTCACGTCTAGGGTACTTGAAGATGATGAGAACGACCTTATAAGGGGTGTTTAAAGTCACCGCCGTCGCAGGCATCTGCGACTTTCACCAATCTCGCCGAATCAGATTGCGACCCGCCCTAATCCCGCTTCTAATCAGCCGCGCGTGGCGAATTGACCGCGTGATCGATCCCTCGATCTCGCGATCGCGAAAGGAAAGCGGCATCGTTACGATGACTTACAAGCGTGACGTCTTTGAGGGTTAATGAGCCTAAAGGACCTCGGAATTAGATCCTTCTTTGGTTCTCAGACACTTAATATTCGCAAAACCGCTGCTTTACCGCGGATCGTTGTAAATATTAAATATTTCTCATCTGTTTCTCCCATTTTTTTAAATATTTTTATCATTCTTATACTTTTTTTTATTATTCACATTATCTCAAACATTTTATGTTAAATGTAAACGTCAGCGTTGAACTTGTGTTCGATAATTGGGATTTTTTCGTTGAAGTTTGATGACACTGTAAGTTTTATTATTAGTCTAAGTGACTGTTTAGACGCATACCCAAGCCTGTTAACCTTCTGAAGGTAAGATGGAGGCACACCCCAACAATGATCTTACAACAATGATCTCCATAGATGGAAGATTGCGCGAAAAGAGCAACGTAAAGGTCGCTATGAACGAATCGCGTGACGCAAATGCAGAGGAAAACGAGTTACCGAGACAGAAAAAATCGCGAACAATCGTAGGTGGCGATCCTACCATTTTTTAAATCCAAGAGAGAATTTTACAAAGATAACGATAGCCCAACATTTTTTTCTAAATACAATGACAAATTTAACTTTTCTACTGCGCGAAAAGAAATTTGTCTTTCCAGAAATGTGTCGACGATTCAAAATTTTTCTTAATAATTTTCCCTTTGTTTACCGACAAACATTTTTCTGTCATAAAACATTTTTTTTTAATCGTTGAAGAAACTTGCCACGAAATTCATAATTTAAAGCTATTCGGAGACGAAAGATCTTTCGCGAAAGGGATATTTATCCGGTACTGTCTGTTTATTTTAAGCGCAATATCGTAATATCATTTGTTTCCTGACAATGTGTCGAAGTAGCCGCTTCGTCGCTCGCATCACGTAAGAGAATACTCATCGGAGTCTACGGATCCTCGGTTCCTCAGTACTCGAGAATCCACAAGATCGCCGAGATCTTTCCCTATGTTCGAGACACATGTTCTTAAATTTAATGTTACTCTCTTCTCAGCCTATACTTTGCCTAGCATGTACGTACGTAAAGCTAATCTTAGGAATAACGTGGCGGCTACACAACCCGTTAAGGATACGAATCCGAATCCCGAGGTTACCATGGTAACGAGAATGTAAATGTAGAAGGCGTCCTTTCTTTCCCACTTTTTGTAATACGATGCAATAATACTCAAAGCAGTCGAGGGCCGCGCGACGAAAACAGATTAATATAGATTAATGCCGGATGAGGAGAGGGTCAACGCGCGCGTCAGCTGAAATGTGGCTGTTTCATCTTCGTCTCGACCGTGAATAAAAAAAATTAGGGCCGAAGAATTATTCCATTTAGCTGTGAATGCGCGCGATAAAGCGAACCTTCGCCCGAAGAAGTTAATGAAATATATTATATATTATATATAGGGTGACCACATACTAACGAAAAATATTTCAACGGCAAATTTTTTGTAAATTGAAGTCTGTTCCTTGAAAATTACATTCCATTTCTTCTCTGCAGCAATTCAGTTTCAATAAATCTATGTCAAATATTAATAAAATTTATTAATAAAAACTCTAATATATGTGAAATGTTTTGGTACTCAAGACTGTTCTAAAAATCGTGTACAAAAATCGTACAGCGACTTTCTAATATAAAATAGTTATAAAGAAGTTATATAGAAAATACTTCTAAACGAGATGCCCCGTTGATCTTAAACTTTAATTCGTTAAACTTGCGCGCGAGACTCACGCCGAAGAAAATCAGCTTCAAACTCGGAAAATCTGTCATTGAGATAGCTTTCGGAAGTGCGGAGACATCCTGTATGCGCGTCGGCCTACCCAGTACAAAAGCAGATCGTTATATTTTATTATATCACGGAATATTGTGTTATGTGAATAATTACATTTTATGTTGTTAACGAAGTCGTAATATATATAATATAAATATACATGTTTCTCTCTCTCTCTCTCTATACGTAAATATATATATATATATGTATATGTATGTGTATACATTAGCAACGTACCTCCGTGCGTTATGTCGATATCTCTTTTACAGTTGTATCGCTCTTTCTTTTCTTAATTCTTTAAAGACCGACACGTAAGACTCGTTTTTGAAACTTTATACATTATAAGGTCCCACCCGTTGTGTTTTATAGTTTAGCAATAACACGATTGTTCAAGTTTCTCTCCTAATCTTCAGCGATTGTCCAACGACCCGTGAGACGATCTACACGGGACGATTTTTATATCAAGAGTAAATTGCTGAGTGCAATATGTGTACAGTGAACGAAATTCTCGTCCAGCTTGTCGACGAGAGTTAATATTTAATTAATATAGATATTAGAGAGAATGACATTTTCAATAAAACCCCCGTCGCGAACTTCCCGCAGGGTCGAACGAATGTAGAGTGGCGTCGATAATTACGGGACACTGTGTATACTCGCGTGGAATTGTAGGCGATTCGAAGCAAGGATCGCCCGTTTCTCTAACTTATGGATTAATTACGAATTAATTAATATCGACTCGACTTTGGTATGTAATCGCTCTCTATTCTTGTTAGTTTATCTCTTAACGTTTTAGAGAAATGGCGAACAAATTCTCAAGAATACTATATGAGGAGGAAAGGCACCCTGCATCATCCTTCGGCAGGATACTCTTCGCTGTTGCTCACGAGTGTACAATGATTGAAAAAAGTTTTGAATGGCGGATCAGCCGGCATAGCAATTTAGAGATTTAGACGCGAAGACGAAGAAATGTACCTATTATTTTTGTACTTAGTTTTAATAAAGGTTTATATGCTTTTTTATAAAAAAAAAGAAAGAGACGCATAAGACGTTTAATCAATTGTATTGTAATCGAATAGTCAAAACACGAAGAATAGATTGACTAGGTGTGACTTCCAAGCTGGAGCCACGTAAATTTGCCATTTTATTCTGACGCTTCGTCGAACATTTCAGTTTACTTCAACGGGGAGAAACAACTGATACTGAGTTGTTCCTCGACATGCATTCTTTTCTACAGGAATGTTATCGATATTTTTCGAGCATCTTGTGCTTTATTTGATAAATATTTGAATTTTTCGAGCTATCGCCAAGCAAGAAAAATCTTGGAAGAATCCTTAGATATACTTTTGTAAGAAATTTTCGCGAAGGAACCAAATCGATTGAATGAATCGAACGAACGACTGGTGAATATGCACATGAATTTCTATTTATCAAAAAATTTGTGTATCGGATAATATTTTCGAGTACTCTTGGAGTACTTTCCCACACAGCAGTGTACTCCTGGGAAAAGATCTCTTAATGTTTTCTCATTATAATTTGGACATCCAAAAATACCTTCGGAAAGAGACAACACAAAAATGTCAACCGGCATTTTCTTAACAAGAAAACACAAATTTTCCACCTGTGTATTTTACCCAGTGAGAAATCTCTCAAACAAAAGATGCCTTTTAAACCTTTTATAACAGACACCTTAATATATTTATCTGTATATCCTTTTTATTACTTAAAAAGTTATCTTTAAAACGATATCTTAAGATCTTTCCGACATAAATGCTGTGTGGGTTATATTATCACCGACTCAAGTCGGCAGATAACGAATGATATTGGTTACTAAATTGAGGGATGTAATTCCACCGTTATGTCCATCAAGCGGTTATCGCAGTAATTAGCATAATAGCAATCAAGTTCGCTCATCTCGAGCTACATCGACCGCACTACCGAGGTTTCCTAGATCGGCTCGTACCATGGGCGTATCCAGACTTTTGTCTAGGGGGGGGGGGGGCAGAACAGGATTCACCTGTAGGCGAATTATGC